CTTTTGCTCCAGGCTGGGTCAGCGATGAGGCCGGGTTCCTCAGGTGTTATCAGGTCTGCTCTTGAACCTCCAAGACAGGAGACTGCACAGCTGGCTGGGTCTGTTCCATGGCTGGCTGACGGACTGAAAAAATACCCACAAGTTCTTGATGCTAATAGTCTGCTTAATCCTGGTAAAGCCTGTGAAAGAGCCTCGTTTCGTTGCTGTTCATCCTATTTCATACGGGACTTCCTAAAATTGTGTTTTCATTTTCACCACAGATGTGTGTTTGTCTTTTAGCATCTCTGTATGTTTACACTGTTCCTTTTCCTGAATTTAATGTCACCAAAGACCCAAACCTCTTGTGAAATTTATTTCCTTCTCAAGCTTAGAATTTGAACCACTTCTCTTAATCTACAGTGGCTGTCCTATGCCTGTCACATGTCAACACCTTGTATCAAACGCAGGTGCTGCTTTGCTCTGCCACCTTCCCTTAGCTGCTTTCAGTGAGTCTTGAAAACCTGTAACTTTCTAACAGCCCAGTTTTCATTAGAGGGCCTTTCTTTCCAGACTTTCCTAGTGATAAGTAAGCTTAAACCTTACTTCTCCCCCCTCTTCTCTCCATGGAAATACTCCTTCTTCGTTTCCCCTTACTTGCATGAACCTGGGATTATTTTTGAGAAAGTTAGAACAGAAGTGTGGGGTCACATTCCTTCTGTGCACATGAAGATGCTGAGAGTCACCACAGCTGCAGGAGTGGGAGATCAGGATGCCATGCACCACTAGCAGAATGTTCCCCTTTGCAGCTTAGTACATCTGTCACCTTTGATGTCATGCAGGAAGGGTATGAAACAGCATTTCTGGTCCCTGAGTAAGGATCTATTTGCAGTGATAGGCAGTAGCTACTGACTGTATCTTCATCTTCTTCTCATCTTAATTCCAGATTGCTGTGCTGATCATTAAACATTGACTGAGCTGCTGCTTCTGTTGCATGGATGTTTGTTGTAACCTCTCAGCCCATAGGTAGCTGTCTGTCTTCTTTCAAGCTGCCCTTTTGCAGTTAATATGTTATTTCAATGAGTTAATAATTCTTCCCAGTTTTCTGAAATTCTAGAGTTGACTGCCTGACCACAAATGGTCATTCTCCCATAAGCTGTGTTTGATTCCATTGTGCTGTAATAGAAAGCTGAAGAGACAAAATATCGTGCAGCTCATTTTTAACATAACTCAGATTTTTACATAAAAAGGAGCGCTGTCTCTGTAGGCAGCTTTTAGATGCTAAGGAATTTATCATTTTCATAATCTGAGACAGTCGCTTCATACGGTGCCTTCAGTCTTGGGAGAAAAATGTTCTCCTCTGAAGTTTCTAGTTGTATTATTAAACTTTGTTTCTGGTAAGAAAATATGGTAAGCATAATATATTATGCTCAAATATTGGAGTGATTGTCTGATTCTTCCTCACATGGAAGCTGTGCTGTCCCACCCTTCCCCACCTTTATTGGCCTTCCTCTTCTTGCTTTATTGGTGCCCATAGCACAGCTGACAATGTATTTGTAAAGTGCTTATTGTGATAGCAGAAAGAAGTTGACAGAGCAAATGTTCTCGTAGGCTCAGGTCAGCCTCACATCATCTCTTTCAGAAGCTGACAGCCATCACTGCTGCCTGCGTGCCATGGGGTTCGTGGTTTGGGGAGGGTCACAGCTTTCCTGATGCTCCAAACAAGGGATTGTAACTTCGTGATGGAAGATGAACTGTTACACTGCGTGGTTATGAGAGGCCCATCTCATGGCTTTTCAAGGAAATATCTCGTGCTGAAGTCCCAGTGGCTTGTTTCTGTGAGGGCTGGGATCCAGTCCTCTTCAGAGCTCCTTCACCATCAGCTGGCTCATTGCTCTGGTCCATCAGCAATCTGTTTTTGGAGATTAAGAAAAGAAAAAAAGGCATTCCTAATTTGTGAACAATAAATTGTGACCTTTCTGTGTGCTGATACTGAGTCAACATGATAGAGGAAAAAGGGTCACAACTTCATGTGTGCTGGAGTTTGTTCACTAAATGCAGTGAAACATTCAGCGCTGAAATAACAGAGTTGTTTTATTTTGTGTTTTATTTTACAGTGAAGGGAGAAAGAGGAAATAGTGATTTAACTGATAAAATGGAAGCGAGGTAAAATAGAGAATGGGAGAAGCCTTGCAGTCAGGACAAGATTGCCCTTTTCCCTTTTCCTTTTCCCAGAAGCAGGGCTGTCTTAATGGGAGTGGATGCTCACAAAGGCAGATGTGAAGCAAGCTTGCCGAGGCCGCCGGCTGAGATGTGTGAATCAGAATTCCAGCTCTGACCTTTCGATGCCTCTGATTTCCATTCCAGTTGTTGAGATCTTATGATTAACCCAATGAAGTAATGTTTAATCATTTAACCTTCCTTCGCCTGTGTTGCAGCAGTCACAGGAAATCTATTTCCAAACCAAAATAACAAATCATCTTTGAGAGGGACGTAGAGAGCAAAAGTCCCGAATCGCGGTAGGGAGTGAATCACGTTGAGCTGAGAGTTGGGTCCGGTCCGTGTGCTCTCATTTTGGGGGATATGTTGTGCCTGTAAGTAGCTGATCTTTTATGGCTTTCTCTGATATTTCTTGTTTTTTTTTTTTTTAAGCAGTAAATAATGGAAATTGTTTGGCTTTTCTTTCGAATGCTTAGAAAAAAAATCTTAGTGAAGGGAATGTTCGCCGTGCAGGGTTTGGAACAGCAAAAAATCTGTTGTGAAATAGGTAAAAGTTGTGAAACTGGAGATCGTATGCTCTGAGAAATGAAACTTGGAAGGTTTTTTTTATTATTGCAGATGTCGCAGAGATTTGACTAATGAAATGTAAGGGAGCAAACGAGCAGAACTGAACCTGTTTACATTGAAGTAAATGTGGAGATTCAAAGATATACTTCTGTTGTGTACATTGCCATGTAAATTATTTCTCTCTGTGATGATGCCACACCATGGGAAATAGGGAAAAATGTCCCAAATTTATCTTTTTTGGCTTATTTAGAAAGTTTGGAACAGAAAGAAAAATTCCCCAGTGCAGTTTGAAGGACCATCGCTGTGCTTTCCGTGGGTCTCTGTGTAACAGATAAGGAATGTGGAAAGAAGAAATAGGACAGAACAGAACAAAAAACCCCACAAACTATTAAAAAAATACTAATCTAAGTTTTAAATTAAAAATAAAAACTCACAAATTAATGAGGTGACAAAAAATGGTCACAGCTTTTTTTTTCCTGAAGCAAATCTGTTGCCCTCATTGCAGCACTTTGGTTGCTGGTTTTAAAGCAGGTCCTGCTGTTAGCTGGAGGTGAGCAGAATGGATTTCAGGCTGTTAGCTGGAGGTGAGCAGAGGGGATTTTGGGCAGCCTGGCGTTTTGCAGCTGTGTAGAAATCCTGCGAGGAGAGCTGCTTGCTCTTCAGAAATGTGACCAACCTGCTGCCCTGTGCAGACATGAGGGTGATACAGTCAGCCTGTATGGAATTGTGGTGTATTGAGTAATTGCAGTATGTTGAATCAAATGACACTTACACCTTACTGCTTTATTAAACCAGCCGGACTGCAGGTGTTAATGTATGGATCCCCTGCTAAAGAGTTCATTCCTGCTTGTGAGCAGTAATACAGAAGTGCACTGGTAATGGATCAGCATGTTAAAAGGAAAACATTAGCTGCTTCCATTGAAATACATCCTGGATGTATCTGAACGATGGGATTGTTTTATTTTAAACATCCTTTATGATGAGATTTACAAAGCTGTGAGAAATTCTGGCTTGTCTTGTGAAAGAGTAAGTTGCGTTTTCATTGTGAGCATCATGAAATGGTGGAAAAAAATTAGGAACTGAAAAGGTCATGGTCACATTCAGCTCAGTTAGTTTGGGGCAGGCATCTTATGAAATCCCCGCAGAGGAGGCACTGCTTCTGTTCACCTTGGCAAAGAAGAAATGCTATCATTGGAAGGACAGCAATGCTTTTTCATTTTGAATAGCACTGCAAATGTATTGCTGCGTTAGCTGTGGGTGTAGGAACAGGAATACATGCTGCCTCCCCCACGTGTGGAGTTTATTGCCTTTACTTGTAGCTGCGATCACACCACAGTGCTGCATGCTTTGCAGTTCACATCTCAGGTGCTCCGTGGGGCTGAGTGCTGTGTGCTGCTCACTCCATCTGCACTCATCTCTCCTTTGGCTGCTTTGGGCTGTTGGATGTAAAACCACGACAAGGGAATTGTAGTTTGGGAAGGAGCTGCCCTCGATGTTGGAAGATTTTTGGACTTAGCTCACTGCTAAGCTATGGGATTTTGTTATAAGTAGCAGCGTTTGACAAAAAAATGTTTGTAAATCATTGTATTCCATTCTGCAGTGAGACGTTCACGAACCAGGATGTGTCATCCTGAGGTGTTGCTCCATGTTACAGATAGCAAATCTGTACCTTTGGGGCTCTTCTAAAAACCTTTCATATTCTGCTGAGGTAAAAAATGTCCCAAGATGTAGGAAGTGTCATTTCTTTGGCTTTTTCCTTTAAGTTGCTGTATTTAATTTATTGGATTTTATTATGAAATTGAATTCTAGTGTCAATAAGATTTCTCTTGAGAAGCTGTTAATGATTTTTACAGCTTTGAAGTGTTGATAAACTGCTGCTCGAAGAGGGTATAAAAGCACAGCAGATCATCTCAGGTCTTAACCTGGCGTGAGAAGTGATGTCTGTTGTTTGGTTCAGGATTCAAATAAGCAATAAGCATCAGAAATGTGTTTTCATAGTAATTGAACTCATCACTGCTTGCAGAATTTTGGAGAGCAATCTCTGGAAGGAGCACCAAAAACTCAAAATGTTGAGGATTTGACACTGACCATCCCATCTCTCTCTTCCCTCTAAGCACAGCATTTCAGTTTGGCGTTTTTTTTTTCCCAAAGCAAGGAGGATACTGCAATCACGTACATTTTGAGGTGCGTTCAGTTTAGGTTTGTCTCACTAATAACATTCTCCTGTTTGTTTGCAGGATTTTGCTTCCCGGGCTAAGCTGGCTGTCCAGAACCTGGTACAGAAAGTTGGGTTCTTCGGCATTTTGGCCTGCGCCTCCGTAAGTGCACTGCAGTGGCAGAGGGGTTGTGATCAATGGTTGCAGGCTGACTGTGGCACAGCGAGGTTAATGCTCTGAGCTGTGTTTTGTTTGAGTCCGTATGATCTTTGCGTCTTGTTTGCTATTTGTGTTCTCTGCGCTGCGCAGGGGAAATGGGATGGTTGTGGTGTGGCAAAGTACAATGGGATGGAGAAACTCCAGTCCTAGATTAGTACCAAACACAGTGACTTCTGCATGAATGCACAGCTGGCAGTAGTTACAGAATCACAGAATCACAGAATCACAGAATCACCCGGGTTGGAAGGGACCTCAAGGATCATGTAGTTCCAACCCCCCTGCCTAGCAGGGCCACCAAACACACACATTCAGATCAGGTTGCCCAGGACCCTGTCCAACCTGGCCTTAAACACATCCAAGGACGGGGCATCCACAACCTCCCTGGGCAGCCCGTTCCAGGGCCTAACCACTCTCCTTGTATAGAACTTCCCCCTAACATCCAACCTAAATCTTCCCTCCTTCAACTTCGATCCATTTCCCCTAGTCCTGCTGTTGTCAGCCCTTTTGAAGAGTTTACTCCCCTTGTGGGTGTAGGTTCCCTTCAGGTATTGATAGGCTGCAATGAGGTCACCCCGCAGCCTTCTCTTCTCCAGGCTGAACAAGCCCAACTCCCTCAGCCTGTCCTCATAGGGGAGGTGCTCCAGCCCCCTGATCATCTTAGTCGCCCTCCTCTGGACCCTTTCCAAAATCTCAATGTCTTTCTTGTACTGAGGGCTCCACACCTGGACACAGTACTCCAGATGGGGCCTCACAAGAGCCGAGTAGAGAGGGACGATCACCTCCCTGTCCCTGCTGACCACCCCTCTCCTGATGGAGCCCAGGATCCCATTTGCCTTTCGAGCTGCCAGAGCGCACTGCTGGCTCATGTTCAGTCTCTCGTCCATCAGGACCCCCAGGTCCTTCTCTGCCGAGCTGCTCTCAAGGACCACTCCTCCCAGCCTGTACGGGTGCCTGGGGTTCTTCCGGCCCAAATGCAAAACCTTGCACTTTGCCGTGTTGAACCTCATTAGGTTCACCCGAGCCCAGCCCAAGTTACCCTTCCTTCAGCTTTACCTTTGGGCTTCGTGACGCTAGTTCTCCTGGCAAAATAGTGCCCTTGGAATGGCAACGTTTCCTTTTTAATCCATCAGAAGAGTACTGTGCCACAGAGATCTCCTCAGTTCCTGGGTGGCTTTTTTAGTAGAACAGTTTATTCTGTAGTTTAGCATGCACAGGGAAAGCTGCTAAGAAGAGTTAGTTCACTCAGGGTGCAAGGAGCTTCTCGCAGCAGGCTTAGATGGAACTGAGCTAAGGTTCCCAAAATTGACTGAGTGTCAAATGCATGCTGCAGCTCCCTGCTCTGTTGGTGGGTATCTGGCAGATCAGATCATGTGCCCCAGCCCAGATTATTAGCTGGCAAGTTACAGCAAGAGCTATATTGTTACCTGTAGTTCCTTCTGGAATTGTTACCTGCAGTTTCTGCTGGAATTGCTGTACCTACACTTGCAGTTTCTGCTATTTCTTCAGATGCTTGTGTCGTGTGGCTTGACATTTTCAGATTCAAAGGTAGACATCAACTGAAAGTGACCTGTACAAACCCTGACGGGGATATCCATCCATAGCAGTTCTCATAAATCTGCTCAGGAGGTGTCAGTGGGTTATTAGGAGCCGGGAGGAGCAGAATGCAGCAGGCAGTTTCAGCCATGGCTATCTGAGTTGCTCATCCATTTCTTTAAGACAGACGTGGTATAAGCATTTCCACTGATGCTATTTTGGCGCTTGAAGTAGCTAATACTGTTCTTTTGAGTTACTGTCTGAGGTTTAAATCTCTCTGGAAGCTCGAAGAGAATGAGTGGGAATGATGTGCCTTACTCTCCAATCCCACATACAAACGCACAGAAATGTGATTACTGCAAAGAGGGGAATTGTTAGGTCCCCTATGATCCCATTCTTCTGGAATAACCACAGCCATTAGCCAGCTGCTCAGCTGATGAGGTATTAATTCCACATTTGTCTAGCATCTCTTAGTTTCCTAAATAGTAGAGATGACAATGTTAGCTATTTGTTCAAACGTAAGTAACCTGTGTTAGCTGGAAAGAATTAAGCTGATTACAGCAGCTGGCACACAACTTGTGTTTACTAATCTTTTGAACTGCCTTAATGTTTAGAGTGGAGATGTAGGTTACAAGCTGTTCCTTAAGCCTTTCTGTGAAGCTGCTCCTGCACTCTGACTCACTGCTCTCAGTCACCATCTTGTGAGCCATCCCCTCGTCTGTCTGTCTTGTGTAACGAGAGCAGCTTGTGGTCAGCAGGATGAGTTCCTGGGGGAGCTGGGCGAGGTGGAATGTGGACAAATAGGGAACGTGAGGAAGGGATTGCTAGATGGGAGAGGTGATGTGTAAGCTCTCCATAGTTCCTGCTTAGTGATGAACGTTTGCCTAACTTCTTCCCTACGTGGTGCACTCTTCCTCCGTGTGCCCCAAGCTCCAGCTTCCTTCTGCTTGTATGCAGGCTGCCCTGGGCTGGGGGAGGGATGGGAAATTGTGGATCTACCACAGTGCACTTGAGGACTTGTAAATGTTGGTTGCGGAATAAATGCAGAGCAGCAGCAAGCAGAGAGGTGATGTGTGGGAGGAGGCATTAAAAAAAGCATAGGGATTCCAAGCTGTAATGGCTTCTAAATGCTACATAAAAACACAATCAAATCGAGTTTAAAACTGCAAATGTATGCAGTGAAGTCAACTGAGTGTAACGTGCAGTGGCAATAGGAAAACCATATTATTGTCTTAGGCCTAATTGCTATGTAAAGGCAGCTCTGGGAAAGGAATGGAGCAAGGAAGAGATTCTTAGTGTGGTTGGTGGGAATTTGTGAGCGTGCCCTCCTGTCTCTGTGGGCGTTTTTGGCACTTCTCAGTACTGCACATGTGTGTTTAAAAAAAAAAAAAAGCAAATGGAGAGAGCCCCTCACTGGCCAGCTCACACAACCCAACATGCACAACCCAACATGCAACCCAACAGCTCAGTCATCTTTTTACTGTGACACGTTTAATGTGTTGGTGGTATCACAGGTACCCGTACTCAAAGCATGCTGCTCTCTCTATGCTGATAGCAACACAGTAATTAAAACACACTGTGAATTTATTGAGGTGGGGGAAACCCAAGGCAACCAGCCAAGGAAATAGCTGAGCCCTAGAGCAGGCTGTGGTGTGAGTAACTCATTTACCATCCTCCTGTGCCCGAGACAGATGTCAGAGGTGAAGAGGATTTGAGTTAAGTGAGGCATATTTAAAGATCGTTTCGGATTTCTTCCTATGCAGGTGGTGGTGTGGGTGCTCATAAATTTGAATTGCCTGTCTGTGACAGCGAAGTATAACCCCCAGAGCTTTGTCACAGATTTCAGATTACCATTCTCTACTTTTTATGATCTTAAATATCTACACTCTGTATTTGTTAGCACAGCAACAGCGCTACTGTGAATTAAGCATCCCCCTGTGTTACTCTGACCGAGTGTGAGAGGTTGCAGTTTGGATTCTTTTTGGTTTAAGTTCAGAAATATTGCACAGACGGTATCACCATACCAAATGTCAAGCCAAGGGCTTAACAATAAAAGAAAGATTCTAATTTTAAATTAAATGCATATGCTTAATAAAAATCTAATCAGTGCTTTTAAACTGGATGCATATGACTCTAAATGCTACTTTTTAATGCACTTTCTCAGATGGAAATCACTGGAGATGGTTTGACCGCTGGCTTCCAGGAGCGATGTGCTTGTCGGGGGGAATTTGATAAATCACCCAGAATGGCTTTGCTGTGGTTTCTGTGCATTTCACAGGGAATACTTTTTTTAGGCTTCTTTAAAATCAAGGGGTAAGGAGGGACCTTCAGGGTGGAATTGTCTGCGACATGTCTAGCTGAATCCCTCAGGCTTATGTTATGGGTTGTAACGCTTTATTTTTGTAAGTACTAAGACACAAGAGTTTTGGATCGAGTCGAATAAGGGGAAAAAGCTCATTTTTCCTGTTCCTGTTCTTTAAGTAAAACACTTCAATGCATGCCCTTTTCTCCTTTATACTTCATAGATTCCCAACCCTCTGTTTGACCTGGCTGGGATAACATGTGGACACTTTCTGGTTCCCTTCTGGACCTTCTTCGGGGCCACTCTGATTGGGAAAGCAGTAATTAAAATGCACATCCAGGCAAGTACATGCTACACCTCCCTCCAGCCTCTGGGCTGAAGACTTTTCTTACTCTTCTTTTTTTTTTTGACTGTTACACTGTGTTACTTCGTAATGAACTGTGGAGTCTCCTTTCCTGACCTGAAGTAATGGAAATTAATTTGGTGCAGAGGATTTACAATAAAGGATCTGCTAGGCTTCTTACACTCGAAACTGAGGCAACTGAATAATTTATAGCTACAAACTAATGAGCTCACTGCCCACACCGCTCAGGAAATTGGTGGTTAGCCAAGTTATTTACCTACGGTTTTTACCAGACTGAAAGGAGTTCGTACTCACAATGAACTTAACTTTGGTAAGAAATATTCATGTCACAGGGCAGTGGAGCTAGCCTTTACCAGTTAAGTGGCACTTTTAAATGCTCCCTTTTATCTGAGTACAGGGAAAACCCCACTGCTTTCATTCCCTGCCCCCTGCAGAAAGCACTCTGGGTGTATCTCTGAGAGTGTTGTCCATCGTTTCCAGGCATGGTTAGCAATTGTTGGTGTTCTCAGTCTTTTCTTTTGAAAGGGCCTGATTTCAGAGAGGGCCTTTTTGATTTTTTTTCTTGCGAATTCAGAATCTTACTGGATGTTCTGAATTTGACAATCAGAATCCCTTCTGAAAGCAATCTGCTTTCAGAAGTGTTGAGTCTTGCTTTTAAGATGCACCACCATTTTGTCCAATGAAAGATGAAGTATCGATTCTCCAATGATGGTTCACTTGTGGCAGCATCATGAACTACAGCACTCCATTTGTAATGATTAGAGCCTGAGATTTCAGCTTGGGCTTTTTTAAAGCATAGCCATAGGTCTGTGCCTGTAGCTTTGTTCCTTGGAAGACTTTGCTGTCACTTCTTTAAAATAACAGAAACTGTCAGTAGATGCCTCATCTAGCACCCATATGAGGCTGCTTAAAAATCTCTTCCTTTTGCCCTAAACAGAGGCTTTATTCGTCCACCCTCTCTTCCATCTTTTTGTAAATGGTTATTTTGCTTTGCACACTTTTTCAGCAGAAGATAACAAAAAGATGGGAGCATTCTTTCACTTACTGTGACAGAACTGCTTTTTCTCCATATTTATTTTTGTGTTCCCTGAATTCTTCTCCTTTTAAACACATGTGCTGTTAGAATTTGTTCTGGCAAATTGAAAACTGAAACAGCATTTGGAAAATACTTCTTTCATTTGCTTTAGTTAGGTAGGAGAATGTTTGCTGTGTAGTTCATGGTTCTCTACACAGATCAAATGTAGGGTTAAAAAAAATTCTGTCTCTTGCAGTGTTGGAAAATCATCCTATTTTGTAATAGTTTTGCTATTAGAATTCTCTGCGATGTTTGATTTCAGACATACTCTTGTGCAATAGCCCTGATTTTTGCAGCGATCTTGCTGCAATTTGGAATTTAGGAAATGTAATGGTCATAGAAAAGGTTTTTGATGAAACCTTTCTCTGGATGGGAAGGAAGTGAGCACGGTGGCCGTCCTGGAGCTGCCTGTAACCGACCTCTTCCTCTGGGCCGCAAAATCATTTCATACAGTTGGGGTCACTGCCCTTATCTCCCCACTAGTGAATGCATTTCTCGTTAGATCATGCTGAAATTGATTTAAGGAGGCTGTGGGAACTGTGTGCCTGAATACGCACATCCACACTCGGACTCGCTTGCTCTTTGCAAACAAACAAGCTGTCAGATATGACAGAAGAGAAATCAGAAAAAGCTACTTCAGCAAAATTATCACTTTAGAAGGGAGAGGTAGAATTACAGATATCTGGACTTCATGCAAACTAAGCCACGTGTTCCAGAATTATTCTGTTTCAAATTATCTGCTGCCTTACAGACAGTGCTAATCCAACTGTTCTGAGTGGGTAGGCAGCCGGGGGCTCTCGCTTCACTCTCCACTTTGTGTTTCTTTGGTAGGGTTATCACAGGGACAAGGGGACTGCAAGATGTATAATGTTCAGTTCTGTGATCTTTAAGTACATGTGTTTGTGTAAGGGGATGTGAACTCTTCTGTGCAGTGATGACTGTTTTTCCATTAAAACATTGTTGATGGAGTAAAGTGACCTTGAGCTTCTGGGAATGTAAGCTTGGGGAGGATGCGTATGGCTGGTAACACAGGCTACAAAAACATTGCAAGAAATGTCATCCATGAGGAAATAGAGTAATAAAGCAAATAGTTCTCCTCTCTTCTCTATTTTTGAAAAGTGTATTGAAAAGCAGACAAGTGAGGGGAAAGCTGTGCCTGAGTGCTGGAGAAGCTGTTTGATCAGAAAGGAGCAAAAGTTGTCTTGTTCCATTCTCTGCTTGCCCTTCAATCAAACATTTCTCTAACTGATGTTTTCCTTCCTACAGAAACTTTTTGTTATTATAACATTCAGCAAACATATAGTGGAGCAGATGGTGTCCCTCATTGGGTGAGTAGCTCTTTAGCAGTCATGCCTTCGCTCAGTAGATGGAAAAGTACTGGAGGAGTCAAATCAGATGCACTGAAAATGGTGCTGTGCTTCTGGGTTCGGTCTTGTTTGTCACCTCATTCTTCACCTCAGAGGTTTCAAGTACTTCAAGTGTAAAAGCGTTGAAGGTCAGATGGCCTGGGTATGTAATACCTCCATTGAGCTTCCACCCAGCAACACGATCCCACTATCCCAGTTATGGATTGCTACTTTGAGCAGCAAATGCTGTTCCTGATGGCTTTCCTCAGTGCTGTATGTGATCCCATAACAAAGCAATGACAGAGTTGTTGGGATTTATGCAGTGTTCCAATAATAGTAACAAACACCTTCTGAAATTTAAACTGCATTATATCTATAAAATATATTGAATCTCTCATGAAACGACATTTCCAGTCTGGTAATCCAGCAGCTGAGATCTCAGCAATGCCTATTTAACTGTGGAGAAGTTTCTCAAACTTCTTGAATGCAAACAAACGTGCAGCTCATTCATCTTAAATGCATTCAGTGGGGCTCAAATTAGAAGGATTTCATTTTAAAAATTGGGCTTAATTCTTCAAAGGAGCAGTTGTTGTGCTCAGGTTGAAGGCTGTGGCCATTTTCATTACACTGCTTGATTTCTGCAGTATTAGGGAGGAAGTTTAAAACTTTGAATGCAATTAACATTTATAGAAAACTTTTGTTTTTGGTGATGGTGGTTTTTTTAGTTCCTATTTTATGGATATCCCGAGCATAAAATAAATTCCTAGCTGTGCTTCCTTTTCCAGAGGCTTTCACTTTTCATGTGGAACAAATTGATTGATTCTTTGCATCCAGACTTTAATTGCTCTGTTCACGTTTAAACAACCAACCAAAAAAAAAGAAAAGCCACACTGCTCAGGAACATTTTCATGAGAGGGGTGTCTGGAAATAATTGCTCTTAAAGTATGTAAACTTGAAGTAGAAATGCTGTACAAAGGAAAAGGAGTGTCGAAAGAAACATGGTAGGGCAGCTTACTAATGAAACAAATCCCAGCTTTATTGCTTCCTCATCTTCTGATCGGGTGTCTGGTTTGTAACAGCCTTCACAATTAATTTGTGGCTTTCAGCATTTAAAAAAAACACACAAGGGAAACATGGTGACTTTTAGCAATCATTAGTTAGCTTCTCTTAAATGTATTCCAGCAGATAACTTAATAGTAACACTGCTACAAATCTAGGTATGTTTCCAAAGGTTTTCTCTCCTGCAAATCTTCGAGCCAAAACTGGTAGTTTTTTCCTACTTCATCTGTCTTGGAGATAATTTTACATCCAATTACATAGAATGCATTCACAAGACCTCTGCTGGATTTGGGTTTTATTAGGTGGTTGATGTCAGAGTTAAAAAATGTCTTCGAGAGACAGTAAGATTTTTGGAATGTCCCGGTACCCTTGACTTTTCTCAATCTGTCTGCTAGCATTACCTCATTGATTCCTTCCTAGAGTGGAGTAGGAAACATATTAAACAATAGTTTTCATTAAACCCCTTATTATTAAGTTAAAGTATAGATCCATTAAAATACAGATCTGTGTAATGGTCAATAACTTTATTTTAATCAAATTCAATCCAGCAGTGTGACTTAAGACTTTCTTTTTTTGTCTGAGATATTGCTTTTACACAATAGAAAATGTCTAAGCTCAGTACTCTAAAATGATGAATCTCAGTATGTGGAATAAGTAGAAACTGGACAGAAGATGAAGTTGAGATGTGAGATAAAGTCTCATTTGATTTTTTTGAACCAGAGAGTTTCTCAATAACGATACAGCTCTCGTTGACTCAGGCAGTGAGCAAAATGATTCACCTGCAGACCGTCCCTGTAGTTCAGTGCTTGTCTGCTTCTGTCAGTGCTGCTGCTCCTGCAGGCCAAGCCTGCTGTAACCAGCATTCTTAAATATAATTTAGGGTATAATTTAGGGTAGTTTTGTCTATTACTAAAAGATCATAAACTGTGCCTTACGTTGATTAAATATATGAAGAAAAGGGCACAGAACTGAGAAGCTTTTTGAAAATTGTTTTGAAAACATGGGCCTTATTCAATGTAAAGAAGGGATGAGAAGGGTTGGGAGGCAACAGCACCATGCAGTAGCCATGGTAGCTAGACAGAAGGGGATGGGAAGGATTCAAGGAGTGAAGGCAGCAGAAGCTTTGCAATCAGAGCTGGAGAGGATTACAAAGACACGGGTAGCTCACATGGGGCTGCTAATTATCAACCTGTTCTACCAGTTGAGGAAGTTGTATTACTGCTGTTTAAAATGCTGAAAGAATAAGGCTTTTTTTGTTGTACTGCCTTCATAGGCTCTTGGTGGTGAAGGATGGTCTGTAAGGTTTTTCTCTTGCATTCTTGTCACTGAAAGATGAAGTCAGCTTATTGATCATCCACTTAGAATCCTTGGATCCTGCTTTTAGCCCAGACCTAGCTCATTTAGTGTTTAATCATCATGTGTGTTGTGGGTTTTCTTGGGGCTCTTGAAGCTTTCCTTTTAATTTTTTCGTTACCTACAGCTGCAGGATTGTTTGTGCAGTCACACTGAGCATATTGCTTCTAAGCACCGTCATAGTTCCTTTGAAGTGGTAGTTTCAAATGTGGATTAAGAATTCCCAGAAAACTACTAAAGAAATAGCACTCGAAGCACACACCACACATACCATCCCCACAGCCGTCTGCCATCAATTCTGGGTAAATATTAAGAAAAATGCTACTCTCTTTTATGTTCAGCGTGGTTGGTTCATATTTTGTGAAAACGAGCTGGTAACTCCACAGCTTCAAAAGAAATCTGAAAAACTCAACAATGTGTTTTATGTAGCACCAGGCTCCCCGTGGCCTTCACCCCCGCGGCAGCCGAACGTCACCAGCAGTGGTGTGGCTCCATCTCTGCGGGACAAACCTCACCCTTCGGGCACAGCTTCCTTGGGGTGAACCCACAGAGGGTGAGGGGAGGTGTCACTGCTGCTTTGGGTTCGTGTGGTGCAGTGGTTGAGCTCTCCGTGCAGCAGGAATTGCTGCTGCCTGTAGCAGATCCTTTGCTGACGGTCAAACCGATGTAGCTGATGAACTAATGAAGTGAGGCATCACACTGATTTGAAATATGATGGAAGCCACTAAAATGCATGTAAAAAAAATAAGAATTGCGTACTTGCATAGATTTTAGAAATTAAATTTTAGTGCCATGTTCCATGGGTGAGACGTGTGAGCCATGTGAACGCTGTGAAATCCATTTCAACAAACTCACATCTGAAAAGCTGCCCAAAAATAGCAGTATCTGAAGGGCTTCTTAATCTGGTGTTTTTGGGGAATGAATTTTAATGCTCTCCAGTGGTGCAGGCCAGTGTGAATGATGGCATGTCTTGAAGGAAAAACATTTTGGTAATAGGTCATTGAACCACTGCCTTTACAAACCACTTTGCTGCTATTTATTGTGCCATAATTCTTTGCTTCACAACTGGATCTCAGTTGATTCTTGTAGGGAGCACGGTGTTCCTTCTGTGAAAAAAGTACATGTGGAATTATGGTGACTGATGTAATTGGAAGCTTTGGTTAAAGGTCACTACGTTGTTGTCTTTGTCAAAAATTGCATACAGCATAGATTTGGATAAATTCTTTAGAATATAAGCAAGGCAAGGAGCTACAGCGATGGGAAAAGGGCTGTGCCAGGGATCAGCTCTCCTGAGGTGGAGAGGTCCTTTTGGTGATTCACGCTGTGCCATATGATTCCCCTTCCCTTTGAGAGCACAGCCTGGCCAGGTGAGCTCCCCACGGCAGATCTGCCAGCCGTGCCTTCCGGCCCTGTGGGCCTTTGTTTTGCATATGCCATAAATTCCATATCCGGTGACTATATCCTGTTTTTGTCAAAGGGAAAGGGTATTTTGAATTACAGTTTCCAATCAGCATTTAAGTTAAACCCCGTGTAGTGGGAATCAATGAAAATACCTTGAAGTGGCCGAGAACACAGATAACTGAGCAGTGATCTCAAAAACTCCTGAGATGAATGCTCCTGGGAGCGTATTGCCACACACCTGATGTTCTTCGGGACAATAAAGCAATGGCTTTCCTCCCACGGGTGTATCAGAAACCTGTGGGACCGTGCCCTGTAATACACCCTGTGTACAATAGATCAGCTCTGCACAAAAATAGGCTTTAGCATCTTGAAAGGGACGCGGATGTCAGGGAAATTTGAGCGGCTTTGGTGTTGAAAGCCTTCCAGTGGATCACAGCAGTAAAAAGTTTATTTGCAGAAGGTTTGTAGGATTTAGCTCTGAACAAGCAAGGTTTTTTATAAAGTGTGTACAGAAATAGCGCTATCTCTTTAAGGTACAACCAGAAGCTGTCTTACAAAGAGCAACATTGAGCAGAGTTAGGAACGAGCCGTTCGAAGATGTTGCAATTCCTATTTTTGAAAGCATTAATTTTAACGTAACAGAATGTCCCAAGAAGTGCTTTGCAGACAGCCTTGGTCAGCACGGGTACTGGAGCGTAGCGCCAGGTAGAAATGATGCCGAATGTGTAACCATTTCAGCTTAGTAATCTGCAAGTGAGTTGTTTTCTTTCTTCATTTCCTAAAACCAAGTGAATGTGCCAGGCAGCCCTTTAACCCCTACAATGTTTCTCTCGGTCCTGACCATAAAGGAGATGTATTTCCACGATTTCAGAACACTGGATGCAGATGGCGTGTAAGTTTCATCCAGTGTTCTGAAGCCAAAGTGGCAGCAAGGAGCTGGAGCTGCAGTTCCTCCCTCTGTGATTTTCAAGCCCAGGTTTTGCCTTGGGAGCCCGTCCAGATCTGCTGCAGTGCAATCTATCAGGGCTGAGTCAGGCCCAGAGTCTGAGGTCCGCTCTGAGTCACTCGGCAGTGTCCGGGTATTGGTGGAGCCTCAGGGAAATTGATGGTTTAAATACTGTGAGAATCTTTATCAGCACAGGAAATGACAGCTCATTAAAATACTAACC